CCTTCCCGTTTCTGTATGTCTTTCTGTCTTCCCCTGCTCACCTCGGGATTTCCCTGACTGCATCTTGTCCCCTTCTCTGTCTGTCACCCTGTGTCTCGTGGTGGCTGTCTCCTCAGGCAGGAGGCCTGCCTTCCGCAGTGCGCCCCGCCCCGACCCACTCACTCTCTCTCTCCCCGCAGGTTCTCCCCATGACACCACCTGGACATCTCTACCTCCTGAGGGTGTGTGGCGCCCCCCTCCTCCTCCTCCTTCTGGGGCTGCTGCTGGCCCTGCCACCTGAGGCCCAGGTGAGGCAGCAGGAGAATGAGGGGTGCAGGGTGGCTCAGCCAAACCTCGGGCCCTAGAGCCCCCCTCAACTCTGTTCTCCCCTAGGGGCTCCCTGGTGCTGGCCTTGCACCCTCAGCTGCCCAGACTGCCCATCAGCACCCCCAGAAGCACTTCGCACAGGGTACCCTCAAACCTGCCGCTCACCTTGTTGGTAAACATCCGCCTGCCCTCCCAGACATGTAGCCTCCAGCCCTCCCCCTACCACCTCCCCTCAGGGACCCAAGAATCTATCTACTCCATCTCTCCCCCAGCTTTCCCCACCCCCCAAAACAGAGGCTCCCACTCCCTCCTGTCCTCCCAACCATCTCCCAGGAACTCAGGCCAGCACCTGCTGTCTCAGAGATTGAGACCTCTTACCCTCAGGCCCTCTCACCCCCACTCCCCCGCCTATGGCTCTTCCTAGGAGACCCCAGCACCAAGAGCTCGCTGCGCTGGAGAGCGAACACGGATCGTGCCTTCCTCCGCCATGGCTTCTCTTTGAGCAACAATTCCCTCCTGGTCCCCACCAGTGGCCTCTACTTCGTCTACTCCCAGGTGGTCTTCTCTGGGGAAGGCTGCTTCCCCAAGGTTGCCCCCAGCCCTCTCTACCTGGCCCATGAGGTCCAGCTCTTCTCCTCCCAGTACCCCTTCCACGTGTCTCTCCTCAGTGCTCAGAAGTCAGTGTGCCCAGGGCCTCAGGGACCGTGGGTGCGCTCGGTGTACCAGGGGGCTGTGTTCCTGCTCACCCAGGGAGACCAGCTATCTACTCACACAGACGGCATTTCCCACCTACTCCTCAGCCCCAGTAGTGTCTTCTTTGGAGCCTTTGCTCTGTAGACAAATTCAGAAAGAAAAAATTGTTTTCAAGGCCTTCTCCTCATTTTGCCTCCATCTTGACGATTTCAAGGGTCACCACACCGTTCCTTTGACCATTCCAACAGTGTCAATTCTCCCCACTCACATCACCTGGAGCTTCCAAAGGATCCTAGGCACCCCAGGGGACCCACCTCCTGAACCACCCCGGATGCTCAGCTGAGGATTTCAGGCTGCCTGAAGATGGCCACCCAGAGCTTGTCCTCTGTGCTGCCAGTCCAGGGGGCCTAGCCTTGGACATGGAGAGGAAGCAGACATGTCCAGAGTTTGGGTGGATGGCTTGAGGCAGGAAAGGGGATTATTTATGAAGGGAAAATTAAATTATTTATTTATGGAGGATTGAGGAAAGGGAATAATAGAGGGACATCAGAAGAGAGAGATAATATGCCCAAGAGATGAAGATGAGGGCATTGGCAGAAGGATGACCTATCAAGAGAGAAAACCAGAGGTCTGAGGGACCGAGGGGCTCTAGAAGACAGCGAAAGGCTCCGAAGAGCCAGCCGCTGCTTGACTAGACACCCCATAAGGCAATATCTGCACCCTCGATGAAGCCCAATAAACCATTTTTCTCTGAAATACTGTCTGCCTATGTCTGTCTGTCTGGGAGGGGAGCATTTCCCAGGTCTCTCTAAGAAATGGAGGGAGGACAGAGGCCTCAGAGGGGCAGGAGCCTGTGGGTGTACAAAGAGATAAAAGGTCCTAAGGGGCTCCAGGTGGGGGAAGGTAGCGGTCTCACAGGGGAGAGGCAGCCAGTTTCCTCAGGGAACCAAAGGATAAGCTTGAGATGACAAGGGGATAATGTGGGTCCAAGTCTTGGAGGGGTGGGGACCAGGGGACCCCTGGCAGATATGGCCACATGTAGAAGCTCTGAGGAATGGGGGATACAGGAGGCCTCTGGAGATGAGTGACCACACCAAAGGGTACTCAGGACTATGAGGAGGGGGCGTGGGGTCCCCTGGAAGGCATGGCAGTGCAAGTATGCCGTGCAAGATGTCACAGGTTACATCTGAGGGGACACAGCTATGCACAGGGACTCTGAGAGCTGGGGCTGTCTCCAGGAATTCAAAGGGAAGGGGAGTTCTTTGGGGATGCATAGCCACATGTGGGAGCTCTGAGGGGTGGGAGCCTCATGCAGAAATCAGGGCCTCAGTTTCCTTTGGAAGCCAAGACCGAAACCCAGTACTGAGTCCCTGGTCAGAATGAAAGGAGAAGGCCAGCCCTGGTAGGGTCTGTGAATTCCCAGGGTTGCTTTCACTCCCTCTGGGGCTGTCCCAGGCTTGTCCCTGCTACTCCTCCCTCAAGTCCTTCCAGAGGCCCCATCCATACACCCGGGCTCAATCTCCCTTCCCCCAGTGCTTTCTCCCCCCACTTCATGTCTCAGGACTCAGCAGAGCTTCACCCAATTTTCTCCCCATGGTGGACTCAGCTTTCTGAAGCCCCTCCCATTTCTAGTTCTTCCCCTGTATGAGTCCCATTTGGAAATCAGAGGGAAACAGGCCACAGATCTGGTCCTCAAAAGGAATGGAGACAATGGGAATTGGGGAGCAGAGGGGAACTGGGGTCCAACCTTCAGGGTCCTACATTCACAGCAGTAACTGGCCCCCAGCAAGTGCCCTCAGAATCCAAGCGGGGAGGGTAGGAAGTATCCTTAATGCCTGGGTGTCCCCAACTTTCCAAACTCCCGCCCCCACGATGGAGAAGAAACCGAGACAGAAGGTATAGGGCTCACTACCGCTTCCTCCAGATGAGCTCATGGGTTTCTCCACCAAGGAAGTTTTCCGCTGGTTGAATGAAAGCCTTTCCCCGCCCTCCTCTCCCCAGGCGTATAAATGCAGCTGTTTGCACAGCCAGCCAGCAGAAGCTCCCTCAGCGAAGACACCAGGGGACCAGCCAGGAGAGAGAGAAGCAACTCCAGACTCCCCTGGAAATAATCTCTCAGAGGACATAACTCCCAGAGAAGCAGCTGTGCAATTCTCTCCCTCTAACACACTGCACCAGGGCTCCACCATCTCCCAGCTGGACTTGAGCCCCTCTGGAAAGGACACCATGAGCACTGAAAGCATGATCCGGGACGTGGAGCTGGCTGAGGAGGCGCTCCCCAAGAAGGCAGGGGGCCCCCACGGCTTCAGACGGTGCTTGTGCCTCAGCCTCTTCTCCTTCCTCCTCGTGGCAGGAGCCACCACGCTCTTCTGCCTGCTGCACTTCGGGGTGATCGGCCCCCAGAGGGAAGAGGTGAGTGCCTCGCCAGACTTGGCTCCTTCTCCCGCCCAGAGAGAAATGGGGGGAAAAGAGGGTGAGAGATGGGGTGGGGTGAAGAGGTGTGCTGATGGGGAGAGATGGGGAGGGAAAAGGTGGAGAAAGATGGGGAGGTAGATATAGAGGTGGAGAGATCACGGAAGCGAGAAGGATGGAGAGGTGCGGTGTCTGTCACATGGAAGGTGCTCACTCAACATTTGTTGAATGAATGAATCAATGAATGAAAAAGCAAGCAGATAAACATATAAAGAGAGATGTGTGGAGAGATGTGGGGTGTGGGTAGAGAGATGGGGAAAAAACAAATGATATGAATAAAGATGGTAAAATAGAAAGAGATATGGGAGATACGGAAAGATGAAAATAGGGTGTCTGGCATGTGGAAGGCACTCAATGAAAAATTGTTAAATGGATGGATGAATGAATAAATGGATAAGTGGAGGGAGAAAACTAGACACATTGGGCAGAGAGTACAAACTAGAGAAGCAGCCAGACTGTTTCTCTTCTAAGGGTGACTTGCTCTGATGCTAATCCTCTTTCTTCTCTCCAACAGTTCCCAGCTGACCTCCAGTTAATCAACCCTCTGGCCCACACACTTGGTAAGTGTCTCCAAAGCCTCTCTCCTACTTCTGGGTTAGGGTGGAGCGGGGGTTAGTCCTGGGATGGCAGCAGTGTAGGAAATTTAGAGTTGCGGTTTTGGGGGATGAGGAATGGAGGTCAAAGTAGCAGAATATTTTCTGGGAAGCTTAAGGGTCTAACCTTTTTCCCCCCCCTTTCTTCCTCAGGAGTGTCTTCTCGAACCCCCAGTGACAAGCCTGTCGCCCACGTTGTAGGTAAGAGTTATAAGGATGTGTCTGGGGGTGAAGAAGCAGACATGCTGTGGAGGGAGAGGACGTGGGGGCTAAACCCGACCTGAGATTAGACAGACCTTGGAGACAGTGTGAGATGGACTCGCTGAACTTAAGTGGAGGCACAGCACAGGCCTTGAGGAGAATGCTCAGAAACTCGAGGCCAGGTGGGATATGAGAAGACAGACAGAGAGGACCAGAACCGGATGTGGGGGGTGGGAAGAACTTGAAGGCCAGGATGTGGAGAGTGGAACTGACAGGGTCACACTGACTCACCTCTCCCTCCCTTTCTTCCTCCCTCCAGCAAACCTTGAAACTGAGGGACAGCTCCAGTGGTTGAGCCGGCGTGCCAATGCCCTCTTGGCCAATGGCGTGTTGCTGACAGACAACCAGCTGGTGGTGCCTTTGGATGGGCTGTACCTCATCTACTCCCAGGTCCTCTTCAAGGGTCAAGGCTGCCCTCAAAGCCATGTGCTCCTCACTCACACCATCAGCCGCTTTGCCGTCTCCTACCCGTACAAGGTCAACCTCCTGTCTGCCATCAAGAGCCCTTGCCAGAGGGAGACAGCAGATGGGGCTGAGGCCAAGCCCTGGTACGAACCCATCTACCTGGGAGGGGTCTTCCAGCTGGAGAAGGGTGATCGACTCAGTGCTGAGATCAACCTGCCTGAGTATCTCGATGTTGCGGAACCCGGGCAGGTCTACTTTGGGATCATTGCCCTGTGAGAGAGCAGGATGTCCACCCTCATCCACCTTAATCCCTTTATTATCCACTCCTTCAGGCCCCCTCACCCCCTTCCGGTTTAGTAAGGGAATTAGGGGCTCGGGCTGGCCATCAAGCTTAGAACTTTAAACTACACTTAGAAACCTAGAGTGCACAGATGTGTGGCCTGGAAAATGGGGCACTGGCCACCACCAAGCATTCAAATTGGGGCTTACAGAATGCAATGGGAGTCTCAGGTTTGGATCCCTGAATGCAACCTGGGACACCTGGAATGTGGAGGCCAGAGAACTTTAGTTCTGGCCAGAACACTTCAGAACATCCCTTGAGAAGATCTTACCTAGAACTCGACATGAGTGGGCCTCAGGCCTCTCTTTCTTCAAATGTTTCCTGATTCTTCCTCGAGATGGAGCGCCCAGCCCCTCCCCCACAGGACCAGCTCCCTCCATTTATGTTTGCACTTGTGATTATTTATTATTTATTTATTATTTATTTATTTACTGATGAAAGTATTTATTCGGGGGCTCGAGTGTCCTGGGAGACCCAGAACAGGGGCTGCCTTAGCTCAGAGATGTTTTCTGTGAAAACGGCGCTGAACTCTAGGTCATTCCCTCCTGGCCTCCCGGTCTCTGTGCCTCCTTTTGCTTATGTTTTTAAAAAATATTTATCTGATCAAGTTGTCTAAATAATGTTGATTTGGTGACTGACTGTCACTACATCGCTGAACCTCTGCTCCCCAGGGGAGCTGTGTCTGTAACCGCCCTACTGGTCAGTGGCGAGAAATAAAGTATGCTCAGAAAAGAAACATGGTCTCTTTCTAGGAATTAATTCTGCATTGACCTCTCCTTGGGAGTGGGAGGCCACTCCCTGAAGTCCTCTTTCCACAGGGCTTAAGCTCCCTGGACCCTGTCCCCACTCCTTAGATGGCTGGGGCTCAGGAGAGCCTACATAAAACAAAGCCCAGTACAATATGCCCCTCCCCCAGGAAACTGGAGCCTAAACCTAATTACCTCTCCTTCAGGGCACGGGAATTTCCAAGTCTGGGAATTCCAATCCAAGCCGGGGAAGTCCTGCAGCTCAGGTGCTCAGGTGAGATTTCCGGCTGTTGTGGCCTGTGAGAGAGAGCCCTGGAGGAGCCACATTCTCTGGCACCTGAATCATAGCCAAGGAACTTCCAGACACTCAGGTATCTGGACTCTAAAACTGGATCCAGGGCCCCCCAGCCAGCCCTGTCCTAACTGTGCAACCTAAACCTGTTACCGAACCTCATCTATCAAATGGAGATAAGAACACTCACCGCAGTGAGCCACAGAGAGCAGGAGCCATAAGCTACCTCAGAGCACCTAGCATAACTTGGCAGGGTGGGCACTCAGTGAATTCTGGCTTTATTCCTTTATCTATCCCCCAGCCATTCTGTCCCCTTCCATCTTTCAGTGGGTAGAATTGAAAAGATGGAAGAAGAAAAAAAAAACTAGGGATAAGACATGGGTGAAAGGTCCACATGCCAACTTGTTTTCACTGATTTTCTTGGCTAATGATAAGAGGAGGGATGTGAGGTGGGTGAATTGGAAAGAGAAAAGCACACTCTCCCTGCAAGGGGCTCTTCTGGACACAGGATCAAAAACAAATATGAGGGGGTGATCGGTTAGCTCAGTTGGTTGGAGCGCGGTGCTAATAACACCAAAGTTGCCGGTTCGATCCCCGCATGGGCCACTGTGAGCTGCACCCTCCCTGAAAGAGTCAATTATGCCATTGTAGCATGAAAGCAATGTGTAACCAATGACCATGGCTGTTCTCCAATAAAATTAAAAAACAAAACAAATATGAAGTCAGAAATGAAGGCCCCAGAATGTGAGCCCATTGGGCTCAGAAGTTGGATGTCTTCCCTGCCAGGGTTGCCAGTGGGGAATAGAGTGAAGAAATAAAATGAAGTCACTATACTCAAGCCATTAAATTACTAAAATCAAGTAGGTTGAGGTATAAGGAAATAATTCTATTCTTGTTTTAACTTAAACTTTTAAACTTTCCAGTCCAGATATCAATGTCTGCATATACATCAAACCTCCAAATAACCTTTTGATTACCCCTGAAAAAACTAAGGAGAGAATGTTCATATATCCAGACCACCTGACATCTACCCTCCAGACCAGGGGTCTACAAACTGCGGCTTGTGAGCCACATGTGGCTCTTTGGGTACGTACATGTGGCTCTGAAGTAAAATTGAAAATGAAGATAAAACTATCAGTTTCATTTATAATTTTTTTTTTTTTTAGATTTTATTGGGGAATTGGGGGAGGGGAACAGCGTTGGGGAATTCGGGAAGGGGAACAGACAAGTTGCTGTCCTTTTGTTCTTCAGTCTAGTTGTGGAGGACGTTGCTTCACTGGCCCATGTTGGTATTATCATTGCTCTCTTCCCGGGTGAGGCAGTCATTCCCCGGCCACTGGACGGTGGCTCATGGTGGCTCACGGCAGCTCACAAAAGTGCATGCCCGCTGCCGGCCAGTCCCACTGCAGCCTATGCCATCGCCGGCGACTCACGGCAGCCCAGCTCCAGGTTGAGCTGTTGTTCACCATCTTAGCTGTAGAGGACGCAGCATCACTGGCCCTAATGTGGGATCCGAACCGGGGCCCTGCTGCTCAGAACTGGCGTCCCAAGCCAACTCCTAACCAACGCGCCACTCAGCTGGCCCTCATTTATAAAATTTTTAAAGGATATTATTCACATAATGGTGATTTCATTTGTTTTACTTCAGAGCCACGTGTATGTACCCAAAGAGCTGCATGTGGCTCGTGAGCTGCAGTTTGCCAACCCCTGCTCCAGACCACCTGACATTCATTATCCAGACTACCCATCATCTTGAGGATTACCATCTGGGATCAATCTAGAGGCAAAAAAATGCAAAATTGATTCTTCTCAAGAATGTACTTTTTACTATAAGAACCCTCAGCTTTTCTTTCTTCCTCAGAACGCTCTGGATATTGCCTAGGTGTTCCAGTTTGAAAACCCTAAGACTCTTGAGTAAGTCTTTTTCATTTATTACTAGCCAAAGCCTCCTGATACATTTATGCTCTGTCAACATTATGGTGGCAGTAGTGGGATCCAAAGAATTCTGCTTTAATTCTGGCTCCACCATCGGATTTGAGCAAGGTACCTGCTTGATCCCTTTGTGCTCTGTCAGCTCCAGGATTCCAGAGGTGAGTTCTCTCGGTTTTGAACCTCCCTGCTTCTGTTGAGGTTCAGAACTTTTTACTCTTGGGTCCTCTGATACGTGTTTTTGTAACGGGATGTCCTTTGTCTAAATCTCTACAGAAAAACAACACCCATCTGTACACTAGCTGGATTTATGTTCAAAATGTAAGGTCCATTCTCTATTAAGTTTTATTCCCCAGCGGACCTCAGATACAAAAGATAATTTAGAACTGCAGTGGCCAAGTCGGGGATCTTTTGAGATTCCAAACTTAGTGAATTTTCAACTGGAAATTCTTAGATATGTTAAACAAGCTGAATGACAAAACATTTTTCAATTGGTATTTAGAGGCCTCCAAGAAATTAAATAATTCAAAGATAGCCTTAATATCTCTTTTGTCTTTTTGTCCAGCTATGACAGCTTTCAGAAAATTTATTTTTAACATGGGGCCCTTTAAAAAAACTTCCCATAAAGTTTCTTCCTCAGGGGCTCTAACTAGTTATATATATGTTAACATTTTGGTCCCTCCTCTTGTGCCTTTTTGGCACAAAACAGGTCAACTTAGCCAAAATAATTCAAAACTCTAATGGCCATTAAGGGAACACTTTAAGTCCACCTCAAGGGCCTTTCCTTAAAGAAAGAATTCCAAAGCTCTTGGAGATATTGGAATGCATTCTTTGACTGATATACAGAAGCTTCTAAAAGATAAGCTGACTTTAAAAACAGCTCTAAAAGAAACTTTGGCCATCTGAGCAGGTGCTTTAAAATTTCTTTCTGTTTCTCCCCTGAAACCTGATATTTCAAGGAATTTAATGACCTAGAATCAGAAATTTGGCAAAATTGGAAACCAAAGGTTCAAAGCCTGATGAGAAAATTTTAAAAGCCTCCTCCCCTAAACTAAAATAAAACTATGTACCCAAAAGGAAAGAAGCAAATTAGGAAGAATGTAGTTGGATGGGTAGATTAACCCATAATGTTACTTAAGTTACAACTCAATTCTTTGGGGAATTAAGAGCAAGCGCCCTTATTTTACAAATCAGTGTAACCAGAAATCCAGCCCTAGAAGATAGTCAGTGCCTACCTATCTTTTACCATCCTCAATTCCTAAGAGTGAAGAAGAAAAGTTTGGGGGGGCGAAAATGAGGGTTTTTAAAAACCACAAACTGCTGCTCTGGTTCCAAGGCTCCTTGCCAAATACAAATCTTAATTGCCTTATCTATAAATATTAATAAGAAAAAGACTTAGCCATCTAAATGAATAAACTTAACTTACTCCAATTGTTATAAATTAGTGGGGTTTTGCCTTCTGTACAGTCTCACAGTTGAAATTTTAAAAACGAAACTATCAGTTCTCTGTTTGCATCTCTCTGTGTGTTCATGTATGTTTTGTGGTATTTTCTACCTCTGGATGGTAATGCTAATTTGGAAAACAGCCCTGTTTTAATTGGCTTAAAAAAATTAAGAGATTACATTAAAATTCTCAAAAATGTAATAGACACTAACCCAAATGCTTTTTCAGGATCACGTGATATTTGATATTAAAACTGGTTTAAGCTTGGTTTGGTTAAATCGGCATATATTTAGAGTTGTCAGAATTATGTGTAATACTTTTATTCTACCTGGGTTTATTAGTCAAAAAACTTCATGCTATCCCTGTTATGAAATTTGTCAGCAAGAAAAATAACTTGTTATAATGAAATTTTCATTGGTAACCTAAATATAATTATTGAGAACAAGTAAAATAATAGATATAAATGGGTTAAAAGTTTTTAGGTGAACTTTTCAGCAATATTTATGTTTTACGGTATGTCTACTTAGTTTCTCAAAACCTTTTGGTAACTTGAAACCTTAGCGTTTGTCAAGTTAAGTTCATTGAATATCTAGATCATTTCCAAATACGATAAAATACTGAAGCATTAATTGTTAAATAAGTCTAAGTTTATCTACTTTTGGCTTCTTATTACAGAGAAAGTAAAAGATAAATTTGGATCTGTTAATGAATATGTTTCATACTTTATTGAGGAAGCATATGTTTCTAAAAATTATGAAATATATTTGCCAGTAAAAGAACCTATGTTTCTAGAGGTTATGAAACAGATTCATAAATTTGCCACTCTAAAGAATGCTAATTTCTTACTTTTTAGTTGCCATTAGAAATTAAGGTTTCTAAGGATTAAGAATTCTAATAAATATGGAAGGAAATAATGTACTTTCAGTAAAAGAACACATAAGGTATGGAAATTCATTTTTGAAAAAATTAAAAGAAAATGGTTTGTCCTCAAATAAGTTGGTTATTTCCGAATTAAAGACAAACTAAGAGGAACAAGGAAAGTTGTAAAAGGTTTGTGAAAAAGGAATCTTGAGAAAGAAATTTTATGTGTGGTCAAGCTAAATTAGATTAAAATTAATTTAATTAAGTATGAATTTAAATATCAAAAGTAAGCTGATACAGGCCAGCAAGTGGCTCAGTTGGTTAAGAGTTGGCTTAAGACCATGAGCTCTGAGCAATAGGGTCACCGGTTTGATACCCACATGGGCCAGTGACGCTGCGCCCTGAGCTGAGCTGTCACCGGGCTGCCAACAGGTGGCAGGATGGCTGAGCTGGTGTAACAACAA